TAAGTTTTTGGTGCCCGGTAAGGGGATTACACCCCTTGGTGTGGTGTTGTCTGCTCCACACTCAGCCAGTGAGCGCACCGGCCATCCCTATACAGGATCTGAACCCGCGGCCTCGGTGCCACCAGCGCCGCACTCTCCCGAGTGAGCCAAGGGGCCGGCCCTTAGCAACCTTTTTAAACTACAATTATATGGCCAGTTTTATTTTATTCAGCCAGTTAAATTTAGCAGTTGCAGGAAGGGGGGCATATAACACCAATTTTAAAATCCAGTGATTATGTATCATTATCACTAGTAGTCATAATGCAATTAAACACAAGGTGCTGCCTACAGAAATCTGTCAAGCCCAAGTTAGTTATCTTAGAAACTGAGATATCAGTTTTTCTTCTCATAGAGTTAACATAAATCTCTCAGCCCTCTATGACAATTAAGAAGTTCCAAAGTAGCACCCAACCTCTTTCTCCTCTCACCCACCGCTTGGACTCCACCCCATCGACAAGAAACACCTGAAGATCTACTTTTTGTTACTCTCCTAATAACTTACACCTCCACATGACTAGGATAAACTTTTAAAAGGAGTTAACTGACAAAAAATGAATCAGGACTATGAAAATACTCCAACAAAACCACTCTCACACACGTGTGCACAGGGGACTGTTTGCTTGATATATACAGTTATTCCCCCATTGCACCCCAAATCAATAGTCAAAAAGGCATACAGTTGCCTAAAAACATCTTAGCCTGACATGATTATATTGGATTTGGAGCAGGGAAGTCTGGCTTTCCCTCAAGAAGATCTAAACACCTAAAGCCACAACTAGGCCAACCAGGGATCCTGTACATTCACCTATCTCCCTCAATCGACTATGGCAGGACCATCCAGTTACAGAAAGCACAATACTATGAAAGCTAAAGAACTGAAATTTGTCTGACAAATGAATTTTTCAGATTCTCCCAAACTATGCACAATCAGCAAGGTATGAAAGATAAAAACACTGGAATAAGCTGGAAGTCCTGAATTTTAGCTGACTCTAGGTCAGCTGTTTGGGAATACATGAGAATACAGAGAAAATAGTTTCGGTCTGCTCCTGACCATCTTCGGAAATTTACTTAGGTCTCTGGGACCCAGCTGTCTGACCTGCAAAAAGGGTTGAATTACATACAAATCCTGAAGATACCTTTTAAGTCTAAAATTCTGGATCTATGAAGAAACTGGTTGATAGCTATACAGTATGCATACTCTCTTCCTCCCTCCAGTACAGATTTTTATGAGAACAAAAGCTAGAAGTCCAGCACTAGACTGCCTCAAAGTACATTCCATCTTGTATACTTTATGTCCCCAAGAGCCATGGGTGCTTTACAAAAGTAGATGAAACTAACCAAGACAATTTATCAAAAGAGATCCTTCAATAAGTTACTCTTTACAACTAAAAACTAGTCTTATATTGTCAGTCCACACAATGTCACTTGTACCAAACGCTCAAAACAATATCTCTACCAATCTGGCCACATCTGAGGTGACAATTACCCACACGGATTTGCGACACTAAGTGGCTGAAAAATTCTCACCACATAAAACATTTCAAAGTACGAGTTTTTTGCTTTTTGTATTTTTCCCCCTTCGCTTGTGGCAGAAAGAAATATAATGATTACACAACTGCAAGAGATATTTAAAAAGAATGTCTTAAAAAGAAGCTAACAGGTCACCAACAGAGGTAAAATTCTTAAATCAGAACTATTATAGGGCCGGCCCGTGGCTCACTCGGGAGAGTGCGGTGCTGATAACACCAAGGCTACGGGTTCGGATCCCTATATAGGGATGGCCGGTTAGCTCATTTCGGAGAGCGTGGTGCTGCCAACACCAAGTCAAGGGTTGAGATCTTCTTACCGGTCATCTTAAAAAAAAAAAAAAAAAGAACTATTAAAAAACACAAGTGAAATCAACTCTGCGGTTTAAAAGATGCCAATTTTCCACCTAACGAACATGGTTTTTGACCAAATCAATTTGGGTGCAAATAAATGCTATTTAATGAAGACGAACTGTAACTGTGGATCCAATCTGCAACTAGGAACAGATATTTAGGCGATTCCTAATCAGGATAGTAACTTAGACAAAGCAAAACTGAATCTGTTTTCACGCAACATCGCTTAAATCATTTAAAAAGTGCTTTTATTCAACTGAAATGTTCTTTCCCTCCAATAGACAGTCCTACTCCTTAAGATTTCAACACAATCTTTTATCTACATAATATCCAAGATTACTGCATTAAAAAAACAGAAAGTTTACCCAAAGCATTGCTGGACTTCAACCAGTATAAAACGGTGATTCATTTCACTTCAAATGTAAAAGGCAAAATGGAGTTAAAAAGAGTTTCTTTCCATGGCAGAAAGAAATATAATGATTACACAACTGCAAGAGATATTTAAAAAGAATGTCTTAAAAAGAAGCTAACAGGTCACCAACAGAGGTAAAATTCTTAAATCAGAACTATTATAGGGCCGGCCCGTGGCTCACTCGGGAGAGTGCGGTGCTGATAACACCAAGGCTACGGGTTCGGATCCCTATATAGGGATGGCCGGTTAGCTCATTTCGGAGAGCGTGGTGCTGCCAACACCAAGTCAAGGGTTGAGATCTTCTTACCGGTCATCTTAAAAAGAAAAAAAAAAAGAACTATTAAAAAACACAAGTGAAATCAACTCTGCGGTTTAAAAGATGCCAATTTTCCACCTAACGAACATGGTTTTTGACCAAATCAATTTGGGTGCAAATAAATGCTATTTAATGAAGACGAACTGTAACTGTGGATCCAATCTGCAACTAGGAACAGATATTTAGGCGATTCCTAATCAGGATAGTAACTTAGACAAAGCAAAACTGAATCTGTTTTCACGCAACATCGCTTAAATCATTTAAAAAGTGCTTTTATTCAACTGAAATGTTCTTTCCCTCCAATAGACAGTCCTACTCCTTAAGATTTCAACACAATCTTTTATCTACATAATATCCAAGATTACTGCATTAAAAAAACAGAAAGTTTACCCAAAGCATTGCTGGACTTCAACCAGTATAAAACGGTGATTCATTTCACTTCAAATGTAAAAGGCAAAATGGAGTTAAAAAGAGTTTCTTTCCATTTCAACTCCAGCCACGCGCGCTTTGCAGCGGCGGCTACACAGCGCGGTCGCAGGGCCGGGCCCGGAGCCCCCGCCCTGCCCGGCGCGGCTGTGAGAGAGGAAGCGCCGGGGACCGCAGGCGGGCGGCTTGGGCTCCAACAGGCCCGGCCGGGCGGGGGAAGGGACACTGGAGGCGGCGGGGCGCGCTTCCGGGGACTCCAAAGGCGGGGCCGCCGCCTCGGGGAGCGGGGCCCGGGCCGAAAGTCAGGGTCAGGGGCCAGGGACTACCGGCAGAGAGCAGCAGGTGGGGTGGGGCGCGGCCGCGGCGGGGCGGCTGGCGAGCGACCGGGCTCGAGCAGGCCCCAGTCGCGGCCCCGCGCACGCGCGCGCACTCACAGCTCATCTGCGATTGCTCAGGAGTGAGTTCACGCCCTAAAAGCAAGACGCTTAACCAATGATTGCAGCCGCGTGGAGCATCACGGGAACTCTGGGGCTATAAAAGACCTGGTTGCTATTTTATACTCTCCGAGTCACTCATTCTTTAAGCAGGGTGGGGCTAGGTGCGCGTGCGCGGCTTTAGTACTCCTCCCCAAACTGCCAACTCTTCGCGCAAGCGAGGTAGGCTCCCCCTGCCTTGGCTTACGCGTGCGCATTAATGGGCCTGGCCCCGGAAGACCGTACGCCTGCGCGGTGAGGTCGATGGTGACAGGACCTCGGGTGGGGCGCGGGCCAGTCATGGCGGAACCTTGGTACGGGCAGTCCTTGCAGGCTCTGCCGGCCACGGTTCTAGGCGCGCTGAGCGCCGTGGGCAACGAGTTCTTGCGGGAGTGGGAGGCGCAGGATATGCGCGTGACCCTCTTCAAGCTGCTACTGCTGTGGTTGGTGTTAAGTCTCCTGGGCATCCAGCTGGCGTGGGGGTTCTACGGGAACACGGTGACCGGGTTGTATCACCGCCCAGGTGAGGCTTTCTACGAACCTCCGTGAGCTGGCCGTCCCCACCCCCACCGGACTGGACCGTTGGATTCCCCAGAATCCCCCTAGACTACACTGGTCCCCCAAGAGCCTCTTTAGAACATAACGTTCTGGGCCGGCCCTGTGGCTCACTCGGGAGAGTGCGGTGCTGATAACACCAAGGCCAAGGGTTCGGATCCCACAGGGGGAGGGCCGGTTGGCTCACTGGGTGCGCGTGGTGCTGACAGCACCAAGTCAAGGGTTAAGATCCCCTTACCGGTCATCTTTTAAAAAAAAAAAGAACATAATGTGGTACCCTGACCCATGTCACCATGGCATTTTACACCAGAATCCTCACCAGTCCACCCATCACGCGTGGTGCTGACAGCACCAAGTCAAGGGTTAAGATCCCCTTACCGGTCATCTTTTAAAAAAAAAAAGAACATAATGTGGTACCCTGACCCATGTCACCATGGCATTTTACACCAGAATCCTCACCAGTCCACCCATCACGCGTGGTGCTGACAGCACCAAGTCAAGGGTTAAGATCCCCTTACCGGTCATCTTTTAAAAAAAAAAAAGAACATAACGTTGTACCCTGACCCATGTCACCATGCCATTTTACACCAGAATCCTCACCAGTCCACCCATCACATTGTAAGTCTTCCTCAGAACCCTCACTCAGACTCTCAGACTCTCCATCAAACAATACCAATGGCTCCTAACCTGACCTGGGCTGATGCCTGCTCAGATACCCACCCCCAGTCTGCTGTAGCTCTGGATGTGTTCCTGCCTCCAGGTCTGGGCGGGCAGAACGGATCCACACCTGATGGCGCCACGCATTTCCCTTCCTGGTGAGTAAATCTGTCTCTAACCTAACCCCATGCTTGGCAGGCAGAGGACACTCTAGTGTTGTAGACAGGGAGGGGAGTGGAGTTTTCAGGGTATGAATCCACTAGCTTAGTGGCCTTTACAGCAAGTTTCAAGTCTGCACATAGAGCTCAGGCTTCAGGTTGGGGTGATACCAACATGTGGACAGTCCATCAGCATGCTGTTCAGCAACCTATGGGTGGGTGGTGGTGGTGTCATAATTTCAGAGAGATGAACTGGCAGGTCTGTTGGATTCCACTCCCTGCAAGCCCTTCAGTTATGGAGGCAGGACCCTCTGTCCTTAGCACACTGATTGACCTCATCAGGATCAGCCTCCTCTGTAAAATATGAACTCACTAATCAGAGCATTTGTTCAACTAGTGTCTGAGTTCCTACCACATGGCAGAGGCAACATTAGACCTAGAGAACAAGGACAACCCAGGCCCTACTCACAGGGGAAGCCAAAGAATTATAAGGGGAGGACAGCACTGCAGGAGCAAAGTTGGTTAGGGAAGGCTTCTCCCAAGAAAGTCATCTAAGCTGAGGTCAAAGGCCAGGGGGTGGCAAAGTGTACCAGGCAAAGGGAATGGATAGAAGAAAGCCCAGAGGCATGGATAAAGGTGATATATTGTAAGAACAGATAAAGCTGTGATGCTGAAGCTTGAACATGCCATCATGGAGGGCCCAGGGAACCACTGAAGGACTGACTCAGCAAGGCTGTGGACTGATCTAATTTGGATTTATAGCTGCCTGCTTCATGACAAGTAGATTAAGGGGTCCAAGAGTGAGAGCTAGGGGACAGTTAGGAAGGCTGCCACTGCCAAGGTTTCTTTCAGGCAACTGGGGAAGGATAAAAGCACCATCGTTAAGGTGGGGAAGCAATAGGAAGAACGGGTCTGCAGGGGGAATGTGGTGGGCCCAGCTAGGACTGTGGGAGATCAGCAGAGAGGTCTAGATTGTAGTGCAGCCTTATTGAGCCCAGCTCATCCCCAAAGGAGCTGGGGATAACCAGTCTTAGGGACTATTCTGCTGCCTATGGAATAACCCCTCTTTCTTCTCTCTCTCCATCACTTTCAGGGAAATGGCAACAAACAAACCTCTCAAAACACACAGAGAATAAGGGAAGGCAGCAGAGGGGTCTCCAGGGGCATCACTGGGTCTGCTGGCTCCTATACTGGGTTCTGCTGCTGCCCAGACTCCAGGGACTACTACAGAGGACTCAGGGTTGGGGTCAGGGAGTACCCCAGTGCTTGAAGGGCTGGGCCTCCACTGCCATCCAATAGCCCCAGGCACTGGACGAGTGAAGAGTTTGCCTCTACCTTTTCCTGGGTGCCTTAAGGCAAGAAGGCATGTTCCTCAGGGGTCAGAGCTCAGGAGAAGCTTCTGGGTTAGGGAGGCCAATAGTCCCTCTTCTGTCTTGGCTTTTTCTTGTTCTTATTCCCATCTCCCTGGGATATGACCTCTTAGAGATTTGTCCCTCTGAGAGGAAACCAGAGGTTGACCAGCTCTAGGATTGGTAAGAAAGTCTGTTCTCCCTTAAACTCTGAGTTTCCTGAATTTCTTTGATTTTGTTTTGTTGGTCTACACCAGGCCTTATACTCTGTGGTTACTTAGCTGGCCATTCAGGTATAAGGCAGGGTTTCCCTGCTGGCACCATCCAGATGGAGCCACCAAACACCCATTTCCCTGGCCCAACCAGAGCTCTCCAGGTGTGAGCTAGTCAAAGGAAATTATCATTTCCCAACTGTCCTACTCATATTCCTCTCAGTCCTTCTTGGGGGAAAGCTTGGTGCCTGAAAGAGGCAGAGCCTACCAGCTGAGTCCCTGGGGTGGCTTCCCACACCCACTGCTTAAGTGCCCATGTGGCCTTGGGACTGTACCCTGCCCCCTCATCAGGAGGTACTAAACAGTTAATAAAGAACAGCCCTGCAGTTTCATCATTTCCCATCTTGACCTGGAACAAATAGAGGCCCCATCAGAAGATCCCATAGGCTCAGCTCTTCCCCATTAGCACCACCTCAGCCTCCAGGAACCCTCGACAGGAAAGAGTCACAGGCCAGACAGCTCTGCCACCTTCATAAAGGGCCAGAGGAGCTTCCGAAGGTGTGGGTGGCAAATGCCCCCACGGAAATGCCGGTTTCTGAAAGCACTGTGGCTCTGGACTTGCCTCCTTCCCTGGCCACACTTCTGCCTGTCTCTGTAAGGCCACCAGCTACCTCATTGTCCTGCTGCCTGCTTCCTCTCTGTTAGATGTCACAGTCCCATCTGGCAGCCATTGCCTATGCCGTCTTTGTGGCAGAGGTGCTCTAGAAGTGGGGCTGTACTGAGCTTATGCACATGTACTCAATCCAGAGTTGTCTCCTGGCCGGCAAAATAATGGTCTTTGCAGCCTCAGGCCCACCCATTGACACCGCCACACACAGAATCACCACACACTGGGTCTCATGTTTCACCCCAGGCTCATCTGAAGATGTAGCTTATTAAACATGGAATGTATCAGTTGTGTGATTATTCAGATAGAACAAGGGTGTGCGTGCACAGGGGCAACTGAAGAGGGAACATCCTAGAGACTGTTGCCCTTCAGGACCCAGAATGTATTGACTTGCAGAAGTGGAGAGGTGATGCCAGCTCCCTGGGGGAGCAGTGATGGGGTGCCCAACAGGGGCAATATCCCTGTTAGTTCTTATAGATCTGGTCTCTCACAAGGGGAACCTACTCTGAGTCTGTCTTGGAGGCCAGAAAGGCAGGCATTGGGTTGACACCCCAGGAATCCTGTAGATAAAGAACAATGAGGCTCGAGACCATGGCAAGTACGAAGGAAGGAAGTTTGTTTAATTTTTTTCAGGAGTCAATGGAGTCCAGTAATGGGCCAAGGAGTGACGGTCAGCCAGGGTAAGGCAAGTCCAGGAGGAGGCCAGCCTACCCTACAACAGCCCTGAGGCTCAGAACAGGTGGTGAGCCTACCATGGTTTGCTACTGGGTGGCAGGCTAGATCGACTCAGGAATATGGAAGAGTTAGTCCATGCCCCCTCAGCCATCCCCAAGTTTACACATGAGCACAGCAGCCCTACTGAGTTAACCCTCTGTAAGTCAGGAATCATTCCTGCCCAGGGACAGGCAGCAGTTTGCATTTGTGGAAAACAAATTCAAGGGGGTGGCCTAAGCTCACGCTGCCCATAGTAATAACCCTTTGGAAGATGAGAAACTGTGGTGAGGTAGGTTGGGAAGGTTTAATCCTCCTCACAAAGGAGAGCCTTTTATCCACAGCTAGCACCTGGCAGAGTGAGAGGTGGCAGAACCAGTGCTTATCATTGCCATCCAGTAGGCAAGAGTGGGGTCAGTGGGATGGTGGACTGAAACAGGACATTGGGCGAGCTGGTCCATCACTCAGAAATGGGGTCCTAAAGTTGGAGTGGGTGGGTGGGGGAAACAGGTGGTATGGCCCCCTCAACCAGACAACTAGAGCCAGCCTCCAGCCTCTACCCTCACCACTCACCCCTAGTGAGTTCTGCCTCAGCTTCCTGACTATCCCCTTGAAGAATGCTCTCCAGTGCAAGACTCCTGAAGGGGAGGGCCCTGCCTGAACTGTCCTCACTTGAGGGTGTAGTAGTTCGTGGGCACAAAGGGCATCTTGCTGACCACAGCCATCTGCTGCTTCCGCCGTACCTCTACCAGCAGCAGTGTCCCTGGCCGACTGTACTCAGAGGGCACATAACCCATTGCCACATTCTTCTTCAGGCAAGGCGAGGGGCAGCCACTGGTCACAGTACCTGTCCATGCATAGGCCATATGTCAGCACCACCCTGCCATCCCAGTGCTCCAACCATCCTGGGGAAGGAACAAGGGCTCTCCAGCTTCCCTGGTTCACCTACCAATCTTGGTACCGTCCGTGCTCAGGATGGGACTGTGTGCCCGCATTGGGGCCCCCTCACACATCAACCCCACACGCCTCCGCTGCACCTTGCCCTTCAGCTGGGAAACAATGACCTCGGCTCCAGGGAAGTCCATAGCAGCTCGGCGGCGCTTCCCTAGAGCATGACACACCAGACCTAAGCCACAGCCAACGGAAGCCCTGGCCACAGGAGGTTTTTGCTTCAAGGACCCCAGGTGATATCCATCCAGCATCAAGGCCCCTTCACTGGGACCCCCATAGGTTCTATTCCTCCCTTAACACTGCAGTCGGCCAACCACCTTCTACCCTCTGGAGGCCATGCTGCCTACCTCACCCTGTTGAGGGTCCTCAGTTTCTAATGGGCAAAACCACACTGGCACCTTCAGGGAATGGAGGCTTAGGGAGGCTGAGTCACCTGCTCCAGGCTACACAACCTTAGAAGCAGTCACAGCCTGGTTGGTCTCATTAAGAGTCACTCCAACTTCCAGGACCTCATCCTGGAGTGCTAGCCCAGCTTACCCAATGTCCAACTGAGGCTGCCCTCCACAGGTGTAGTGTGTTCATCAATGTCATTCCCATACAGGCAGAGGCCTGCCTCCAGGCGTAGGCTGTCCCGGGCCGCCAGCCCTGCCAGCTTCACCTCCGGGTTCTCTAGAAGAGCTGTTGCCAGGTGGACTGCCCCTGTTGCCGGCACTGAGATCTGCAAAGGACATCAGAGAACAGGTGGCCAGCTGCCTTCCCAGAGTCTGTGCCCTGCACTGCCCTACACCCACTTCTTGACACACCTCCACACCGTCCTCTCCTGTGTAGCCACAGCGGGTCACACGGCAGCCGGACATGCCGAACACTTCCATCACAGCACTGGTCATGAAGGGCAGTTTCCTCAAGTCGTCTGCCACACCGGCCTGTAGCACCTGGGCCGCAGTGGGGCCTGGGCCCAGGGAGCAAGTGACTGAGTGTCCAGGTCCCAGCACCCCCTCAAAGCTGGACTACAGCCCTTACTCAGGCCCCAGAACAAGTCCTGCTCAGCAAGTGGGAGAAGATGCCCTTGCTTAGCCCATGGAGCCTTGTGGTGGTGGGGGGGGGCGGGGAGGGCAAGATACCAAACTTATAATTATGGCACACAATTATCACACCATCCACACCTTCCTCTTGGTATGGCCTCTGTGATTAGCAGTTGATGAAGCCAGGAAGGCAAAGGTCAGTTCCAACTCCAGCCCAGTCCTCTCACCTTGCAGGGCTAGCAGAGCATTATCCACCACTTCCAGACCCACATCACTGCCCCTTTTCTGAAGCTCCGTGACTTTGTCCTGAAAGGAAAGACAGAAATACCACATTAGCCTCTGGGACCACTTATTGAGCACCTACCATGGGTGGACACTGCAGAGCTGGGCAATGATAGTGGGCTGGTTCCCATCTTACAAGGTCACATTGCTACTAATTGGTAGGGATGACCGAAGCTGAGGTCTGCCACCTCTCACATCCTCAAAGGATGCTCACTTAGGGGCTAGAGTCAACTTCACCTCCTCACCTTCCTTAGTCCTCCACCACCAAACCCTGGCTCTAGGGAGGGCCTACTCTTGAGTCTCATAGCTGTTCATTTACTCAGAGAGCCATTTTCTGAGCCCCTTGTCCATGTCAGGCCTGTCCCAGACAACAAGGATGCTGCTCTATGAACAAGGAAGACAAGGTGCTAGAACACAGAAGGGCTGTACCTGCATGCGAGCCAAGTCCTTGTCCCAGCAGCCAGCATTGGATACCACATACAGGTGCCCCTCAGATGTGTTGGTCACAATCAAGTCATCTAAGATGCCTCCAGTCTCATTTGTAAACAGCGACAGTGTCCCCTACCACCAGAGTGAAGCATCTTTGCCTCCAAGTCCAGGAGGCCAAGACCACGCATGAGCTAGACACAAACCTGTACCCACTCAGCCACCACAAACTCATGAACCCTCATGCGCAGGGTTCAAGGTGTGCAAGATCCAAGGCTGGGCCCAGGTCCATTTATCCTCATGTGCCAAGTTTTTATCCTCTTCCCACCCAGGGAGACCCCCCTGATCTGGTGGGGCCTCTGCACTCCTCCACCCTCAGTACTGAGAGCCTCATCTCACACTTAACCTATGACGCCTAGGACCTGCTGCTTCATCCCACACCCTAATTCCCAGGACAAAAGCTTCAAGGTCCATCATAATGATCCCAACTAATCCCATAGCACTCTACAGCAATGTCCCCCAAATACTGCAAAGGTGGCCTTAGCCTCCCCATTGGATGGATGAAGAGCCTGAGCTTGATAGGTCACAAATCACCAGAGGATCTTGTTAAAATGAAGATTTTGATTCAGCAGGTCTGGAGTAGCACTTGAGTGTATTCCTAACAAGCTCCTAGGAAACGATGAGGCTGCTGGTTTAGGGACCACAGTTTGAATAGTGAGGAGTTAGGCACCATATAAGGTTAGAGAGCAGCACATGAACTTTGGTTTCTGGGCCTCCCATTCTAACATTGTGAGGCTGGGATAGGCCCCTCTGGTGGATGGCTAGGTGTCTTGAAATGATTCAGGGACTCTGTCCACCAAGACTGCAAGTCCTGAGAAGCTATGTCTGACCCATCTCTGTACCCCCAAACCTGAGATAGGGACTCAGCCTGTTTGCTGGCTCATGACTAGAACACCCATTTAGCTGAAACAAAAGAAGGGCCCACCTGGTTTGGCCTTAGCTCTTCAATGTCTCCAACCACTAGACTCTCCATCAGCTTAACCCGGTCACAACCAAATATCTTGGTCTGGGGAAGAGATGGAAAACCTTAGGCCACTGCAACAGCTGCAATCAAAAAGGCCTCTAGGCAAGGAGGTCTCCTTCTTGCCATCCACGGCACAATCTAGCCCACCTAAAGTGACTGACCAGTCTGTTCTTTTGGCAGCACAGGCCCCACCTTCTGATGCCCCTACATCCCCCAGCACAGGGTGTGACTAAGGGAGGTCAGAGAACTCAAGAGGACCTAGCACCTTCCCAAATACCCCCGTTTCCAAACCAATACCCAGCACAGTGGATGAGAGTGGATGTCAACCCTGGAAACCCCCGGACATTAAAGCAGACCACTTAATGGGAGCAGGCTAGAGAGATTAAAGAGGAGATAAACAGGATACCCTCTGAGTTAATTTCCTTGGGGCCATACTCTGTACGTGACACCCCTGAGACCTCTAGCCCTTCTAGGAGGACTGTCTTCAAAATCCAGTTCCCAGTAAATAAAGCTGAGGAGCACACCACTGTAGATGGGGAGGAAGGCCTGTTCCAGCTGCAGGCATGCTCCCCTGGCTCACCTGCAGCATGTGGGACACGTCAAAGAGCGAGCAGTGCCGGCGTGTGTGCAGGTGTGAGTCAATATGACTGTCCTGGTACTGCACAGGCAGAGTCCAACCCGCAAACGCCACCATTTTCCCACCGTGGGCCAGGTGAAAGTCATAGAGTGGTGTCTTGCGAAGCACATCCTGCGGGCATGCGGACTTAGTGCCACCAGGGCCCTAGCCCCCGCCTGCCTCCCTCCCCCACACTCCAAGATCAGCACCAAACCCCAGCACCCTCTATCCCACCTGCGCACAACTGAACTGACGACCCAGGGCCAAGGGGAGTGACTGCAGACGAAAGCCTACACGGGCCACCATGCTTGCTGCCCGCTGCATAGTCGCTTGTAACTGGCGTACAGTGGCGTACAGAGGCCACCACTCTGCCAGGCACTCTGGGAGATGTAGTCCAGGCCCCTGCTGGGACCCATCTCCCTCCCGAGCAGATCAAAAGAGGAGTGGGCAGCCCTGAGGGCAAGCTAGAATTTAGAGCTGGCAGTGCAGACTGCAAACTGCAAAGAAACTGCCTCGGGCTATTTCCCCAGGCTAATCAGGGCAGGTCTACTAATCAAGGTAGGTCAGGCAGTCCAGAGAGGATTAGGCTACCCAGAACCAGAGCTGGGGGCTAACCTCCCCCTGCTGAACTGCTTTGCTTTCAAAGGGTTGAAAGGTCTGAATCACACATTCAGGGACCTCAGGAATGTAAAATCCTATGGGGTTGGGGGATGGAGAGGTCATAGGAGGGTGGAATCAGCCTGGCAAGCAGAGCGCCACAGTAGCCTGGCCTCATGTTGGTGTCCCCAGCTCTCCCACCGGGCAGACACAGCCAGCCAGCAGTCATGCTTCCACAAGTATTTATTGATCTTGCTGTACACCACACCTTGTGCTGGGTGCTGGGGACACAGCTTTGAATGTAGCATGGTCTCTGCCACCCCAGGGTCCTCTCCACTCACACACACACACTGAGGACACTTGATCCCTGAAAACAGGATTATGGTCATCAACCTTTCAGAAAAAGCTAAATGGGGCTAAGTAAATGACCCTGCAGGTAAAGACACCACCTGCTAGAACTCTGATGGATGACAGCAGAGAGTGGCCACCAAAAGGTGGCTCAAATTCCCCCAGAAAACTGTTGGGCCACACACATATCCAATTTTGCAAGTCCAAGACATGCTGCAATTTTACTTCATAATACCCCCCAGAGGCAAAGCCAGGAAGAGCCAGGGGGGAAGTGGGATTTTTCTCATAAGCTTCTCACATGAAGGAACAGCAGCCTGCATCCTTTAACTGTTAACCTGAGGTAATGGAGGAACTCAGCCTCTTTAAAGGCCTCAGTGAGAACCCTCACTTGGACCTGCCCCCCACCAAGGTTGATCCCTCATTATGACTCTTGGAAAGGGACAATTGGGAGAAGGGACAGGGATGTGCTTTGGTCAGATGGCAGATAGGTCCCAGGTCTCATTCTCAGGCCCTGGCCTTGTCAGAGGCACCTGCCCAGGACCAATGGGAACACCCATTTGAACATATGTCCAGGAGCCAGCTCAGGGACTGAGGGATTTAGGCTACCCAAATCCCCAGCTTTGCTTCCTAGGCAGGCAGCAGAAGAGTTTAGACAGGACATTTCTTTTTGTGAGCAAAACACAAAGGGAAAGAAGTCCAGTAGGGGGTGCAGAGGAAGAAATGGGGTTTCTGTTTCTTCCTCAAACTTCCCAATCTCCGGGGCCGGCCTGGTGGCGCACTGCTACAGTGCGCCGCTTGGGAAGCGCAGCGGCGCTCCCGCCGAGGGTTCGGATCCCACATACGGACCAGTTCCCGCTCACTGGCTGAGCGAGGAGCGGGGGCAACACCGAGGGTTGTGATCCCGTTGCCGGTCCCAGTCCGGAACGGGCGCGACACTGAGGGTTGCGATCCATTGCCGGGCACGAAAAAAAGACAAAAAGACAAACAAAAAACAAAAAACAAAAACTTCCCAATCTGGGGGCCGGCCCGGTGGCGCACTGGATAAGTGCGCCGCTTGGGAAGCGCAGCAGCGCTCCCGCCCGAGGGTTCGGATCCCACATACAGACCGGTTCCCGCTCACTGGCTGAGCGAGGCACGGGAGCAACACCGAGGGTTGCAATCCCGTTGCCGGTCCCCGGTCCGGTACGGGGGCAACACTGAGGGTTGCGATCCGTTGCCGGACACGGAAAAAGACAAAAGACAAAAAAAAAAAAAACTTCCCAATCTGCAAGAGTGCCATGGTAGCAGTGGCCTTCCAAGGTTAGATGGAGCAGGTTCTAGTAGGTCATCCCAGCCCACTGCACTCAGGGTGATGGAGTGGGCAAAAGACAGGAGTGTACATGTTGGCAGGAGGGGCAGAGAACACTTGGAGATTTTTAGCAAGTAGAAATGGAGTGCTTTTAGAGGAGGAGAAGGAAGAGATGGGTTACAGTCAGGTGAAGACAGAGCACACTCCTGCGGGGAGCTCATGCTGGAGCAAAACAGTAAGCCCCCAGAATCTTGAGTCTGTGAACATGGCCCAGACAGAACAGGTATGCAGGCAACACTCAGAATGTACAGGGAACACAGTTCGGCCTCTGGTGGTCCAAACCAAGTCTGGGTAGGCACAGAAAGGCCAACATCTCAGCTAGGAGCCAGCATTCAAGTATAGGAGAGCAAATTCAAGTCATAGCAGCCATCCACCTGCAATACAAAAGACCATCAGGTATGACATGTTCAGGGCAATGCAGGAAAAGTAAAGGGAAACGATCACTCACATCAAAGCGGCCGATCCTTGTGGAAGTGTGACTGGCCCGGATCATCTCTGTCAGCGCCCACATCTGCTGCACCTCGGAGGATATCCTGCTGGGGTCTGGGAGACCCTGCTCCAGAAGGAGGGATCAGTGGCCATGGGTCTCTCCCAGCAGTGCCCTTAGGGCTCTAGAGAGGCCATGCTGAGCTATGGGACCCTCCAGCTGAGACCAGCAAAATTCCCAGATGACTTGTGAGACACGAGGTTGGGGCCTGATATTCAGAAGGCAGCCCAGCCCCGAACCAGAGATGCCTCAACTCCCATAGAACACCCAAGAGGAAGATGGCACAGAGTGGACCCTGGGTCCAGCCCCAGATTCTTACAGAAAGGGGCCCACTTGGGCCTGTGCTGCACACCAGAGCCATTTGCATGTGGTTCTTACCTAGGGTGAGGGCTTACCTCAAGGAGGGGGGCAGGCTGCTCACAGGGCACTGGGTGGGAGAGCCACTTGGGGAAGGTAATGGAGGGGCTCTGCAAAGCAAAGGCATACTGCCCTGAGTGAGGTAGAGCAGGAGAGCTCTGGAACTAGATTCCAAGGTCCTGGGAGCAAGAGAAGGGCCCCTGAGCTTCAGACACTGGGAAAATCCTGTTCAGGTGGCCCAAAGAGGCCTAAGGGGGCAGTCAGACTACCTAAGCTCTCCTGCTATGCAGAAGGCTGCCCCAGGAACACAAGCAGCAGAAGTGTCTCCAGATACTGAAAGACTCTAGCTCTGAAAGGGGCAGGTGGCCCCAAAGGTAAGGGGATACAAGGACATGGACTCACCTCTCATCATGAGCTTCCAGAATTCACATGCAGCTAACTTCCAGGAAGCCCTTCTTCTGAGTCTCATCATTCTCACCTATCACCCTCTCCACCACCCCAGCTCTCCCAGCCATAGCTAGAAGCCTTCTGGGGAAAAGACCAGCATGAGCTAGTCACTTACCTTTGGTCCCTGCTGGTAGATCTGCAGCTCCTCCACTGTGAAAGACAGCCACAGTGGTGATGGCTGCCGCAGAATCAGGCGTAGCTCCAGTACTTTAGCCATGTCACACAGCATCTAACACATATACACAAGGACCCAGCGAGGACCCAGCTCACCGCCCAATAGCCTCCCAACCAGCAATGGACCAAGATGCTGCCTCACAGGCCTTTGGGAAGGAAAGAACAGTAGTCCTTCCAAGGCACTTGCCTAACAGTCACAGCGCAGGCCAGCCTTGCTCCCTCTTCCCTCCTGGTATACTGACCCAATCCCTCGGCCTCCTACGAATACTCATATGGGCTGCCCTGGCCACACTAAGGCCCAGCTGACCTGGTGTTTGAACAGTGATACGTACTCCTGGGCTCCCTCCTCACTGTGTGGGTCAGGCATCAGACAGTAGTCCCGCAGGCAGGTCACCCATTTGGCTGGTGTGTGTGTCGAGGTATGCTGACGAACACGGATGCTCAGAAAGGCTGTATAGTAATTCTTAAACATGATCTCCTGCAACTAGAGCACACACAACCAACCATGACAAATCAGATCCAGGCTCAGGGCCTGAGAGGCTCAAAGGCACCATCTCTTCCTTCCTTTTGAAATGTACTCTCCTACTAAACTAACAATTTCAACAAGCTTCATTGGAGACCAAAGACAGTTTCACTTTTCTAGAGTTGCTCACAGTCTAAATGAGTAGGTCATGTAAATAAACCTCCACCGCAGATCTTGCCACATGCCCAACATGCTCCCAGAGGTCAGAGCCCTAATCTTGAGGAAAGCAGAAAGTGTACATATGAGGCCTGAAGAAGGAAGAATTCACCAACTGGACCAGGAAAGGTAGGGAATGTAAAAGTAGCATATACAAAGAAGCACCAGAGGGGGAGAAAACCTGGTGCACCACTGGAACAGTGAGTGATTCAGCCTGGCTACAGCAGTAGTTCTCATCACTGGATACTCATCAGAATCACCCAAGGAAATTTTTTTAAAATATAGATATCCAGATGCCACCTTAAACTCACTGAATCAGGATTTCCAGGTTGGGCCCTTTAATTAAGTTTCCCAGCTGATAGTAAGGAACAGCTTGGGGGATTACCACACACTACAGCACAAAGCCCATAGGGCTGAGAGGCAGGTGGAGCACAGTTATGCCGGAGTGCCTCTGAATGCCAGGCCATTACAGGTCGGCTTTGTCCTCTGTGTTGAGGTTATACAGTGTCCAGTCACTCTGTCAGCTGATGTGGAACTGCAACTAGAGACTGGAAATTGGAGTCATTGGGAGGATCCTAATGAGGGATGAGTTGTACCTGACCTCTAGCAGGGACTGTAGGAATGGGGAGGAGGCAGATTTTGGGGTAAATCATTGTTTAACGAAATCCAGCTGTGGCCAGGGACAAACAGATTCCTCACCTCTATTTGGTTCACAACGTATTTCAAGCAATACTTAACCTACTCTCTGGCACCTCCCTACCAGCGTTGTCCTGGATTTGGGAAAGAGACGTTGAAGAGAACAGGACAGGAAGCCCTATTCTAGGAAATATGTGTTAACTGAAGGAATAAATAAATGAATGGTTAACTAATTAGCAAGGGCAAGGGACACTGCGGATACTATCTTGTGAAAGATTAAACGCCTGGGAAACACCCAAGTTCCCAGGTCTGCCCCGTCCGGGAGCCCCCGTCACACCCAAGGGGCTTGCTCACCTCGAAGGGTGGGACGCTCGGGAAGGTGACATCGATGACCAGAACGCCAGGTCGGCCTTGGGAGGTCCGCACGTCACCAACCTGCAGGGCTACGGTGCCTTTCACATGGCAGGGCACCGACACGCGGGACATGGTACCGACAACCGTGACCAACTGCAACCGACCGTTCGGGGCCTCCAACTCCCATTCCTTCCCGGCGTCCCCAGCCGAGCGGTAAGAACTACAACTCCCGGGAGGCACAACGCTGGGCCAGCCCAGCCAATCACCAGTGCTCAGGGCGGGCCAGGAGTCGGAAGGGCCTGCGGAAGTTCTCCTTCAGCCAATCAGGCGTGAGCCTTAGAGCGGACCGCGGGCCGCGCCCTGCAACTGCCGAGCTGTGCTGTATCCAAACCGTCCTGACCCGTGTCAGAGTCCCTGGTCTCGCTGGTTTTCTGCCACTGCGTAGGGAAGTCTTCAGTTAAACCATGTAAAGCCACGCACACAAATGATTATAGTGACTGGCTGACATTAATCGCAAAAAAAGATTGTTAACATCATTATTTATAAGGGTAATACAAATTAGAACTTCCACACATTTACTAAATAGGCTAAAATGAAAGACTGACAAGGATGCGGGTTGCGGAAACCCTCAACCATCGATTTCCGACCACTTTGAAGAACAGTTTGCCCTTTCTTAAAAAACTATATTTATGCCTACAGTATGATCCAGCCATTGCACTCTTAAGTATTTACCCAAAATAAATGAAAGCACAGGACCAACCAAAGTCTTTACTCATAATAACCAGTTTGGAAATAATCCAAATTTCCAACAGATGAACGGATAAACTTAGTTGCTATAGATCCATAAAACCGAATACTACTTATCAATAAAAAGAAATTAACAAACCCAACTGTCCATCAATAGATAAATGGATAAACAGAATGTGATGTAAACATACAATGGAATTATTCAGCCTTAAAAATAAATAAAATTCTGATACATGCTACAACATGGATGAACCTTGAAAACATTTTGCCACGTGAAATAAGCCAGACATAAATGGACAAATATTGTATGATTCCATTTATATGAGATAACTTGAATAGACAAATTTATAGAAACAAAAAGTAGAATAGAGGTTGCCAGGGGCTGAGAATAAGGGGAAATAGAGAATATTGTTAACAGGTACAAAGTTTATGTTTGGGATGATGAAAAAGTTCTGGAAGTAGGTAGTGGTGATGATTACATGACACTGTGAATGTACTTAATGCCACTGAAGTGTATGTACACTTAAAAGTGATTAAAATGGTAAATGTTGTTATGTTTAAATACAAACAATTTTTTTTTTTTTTATTTTGTCTTTTTCGTGACCGGCAAGGGGACCGCAATCCCTGGTGTGGTGTCGCCCGCACTGTGCTCAGCCAGTGAGCACACCGGCCAGTCCCACACAGGATCCGAACCCGCGGCGGGAGCGTCGCTGCGCTCCCAGCGCCGCACTCTCCCGAGTGCGCCACGGGGCCAGCCCTTTATTTTTATTTTTTTAAAAGATGACCTGTAAGGGGATCTTAACCCTTGGCTTGGTGTTGTCAGAACCACGCTCAGCCAGTGAGCTAACCAGCCATCCCTATATAGGATCCGAACCCGTGGCCTTGGTGTTATCAACACTGCACTCTCCTGAGTGAGCCCTGGGCTAACCCTAAAATACATACAATTTTTAAAAAAGGAATGAACAACTGGTGCATACAACAACACAGATGGATCTCAAATGCATTATGTTAAGCAAAAGAAGCTAGATCCAAAGGAGCACATGGAACCATGGCTTCTCTTAGGCTGCCAGCTCACAGGTCAGGACCGTCCAGGCAATGGTCAGCTTCTGGTAACCTGTGCCTCCTCTGTATTGAGGGACCTCAAAGACACAGGTCTAGCACAGCCCATGGGGCTCTCATGGGATGGCATCAAACAGGCCCATGCCCAGGATTCCAGGCCAGTCCAAAGAATAGCCTAGAGGAGTTGTGCCTTCCTAGCCCAGACCTAGAGACTTTCAGTGACAGAAAACATTCCCCCACCTCCTTGTTGGCTATTGTCAGGGGAAAATAGAGTGTAACCTCAGGTCTCCTGGACTAGCCATTGTCATCTCCATTTTGACTCAGGCTAATGATTCACTGCCTAGGTTCCTCCAGGTTCTTGAGACTTTCTTCTTTAGGAAGCCTGCCCATGCTGGAACAGAGGCCTCCCCAAATCCCAGAATACTACAGATAGTCCCCAACTTGTGGAATATGTACTTCACGGGGCATATGTACTTCACAGGGCCTGGTTTTCCAAAGTCTTGCAGTTTCAAAAATTGACCTTGCAGAGGACTAGAAATTTTCCTCAGGCTATAATTCTCTGTTGCAAGATAAGAATTGTGGCACAACAAAGTTGCTGGCTCAAAGACAGATTAGTTACTGATTGATATCTAAGTTGCTGGAAAACTGTAGAGGGAGAAGGAATGTTTGCTAAGATCAAGCTTTTGTTGATAGCCTTACTGGAATGTCATCTGCCTTGTTTGGTTAAACTAAAACCCCACCTATGTTCTCTTCCTGTAACTTCCTGGTCTGGAAAATAAATGCAGGAAGAGAACCCCAATTCGGTGTTAATTTCCTGAGGAAAGGTCCCAGGGAAGTTAACCACTTCGGGGCTTCTCACTGCTCAGAAGAGATGGGCTTTGAGTAATCCTTTGCATCTCTGTCACCCAGGGAAAGTGGGGTGACAAATCCGTGGGGGGTGAAACAACACAAAGCAACACCAACTTATGATGGTTCAACTTAAGATTTTTCGAGTTAACAATGGTGCAAAAGCAATACATATTCAGTAGAAACCATACTTTGAGTACCAATACAACCATTCTGTCTTTTACTTTTAGCATGTATTCAAAATTACATGAAATATTCAACACTTTATTATAAAATAGGCTTTATGTTAGATGATTTTGCCCAACTGTATGACAATGTAAAGTGCTCTGAGCACGTTTAAGGTAGGCTAGGCTAAACTATGATGATTTGTAAGTTAGGTGTATTAAATGCATTTTGGGGGCTGGCCAATTAACTCACTTGGTTAGAGCCTGGTGCTGATGATCCCAAGGTCAAGGGTTCAGTCCCCTTATCAGCCAGCCACCAAAAAAAAAAAAAAACCCCAGGCATTTTTGGCTTATGATATTTTCAACCTACAATGGGTTTATCAGGATGTAACCTCATTGTAAGTTGAGGAGCATCTGTATAGGCCTCCTGGGTATCAGGAGGGTACAGACAGCTCTGGGCTTCAGGACCCAGCTCTGAGAGCACAGCCACTAGAAGACACAGACCAATGTGGCTCCTCATTGCAGGTAAGTCTCAACTCATAGCTCACTGGTGGATAGCCACCTCCACTCTATTGTTCACACTGTGGCAGGCCAACATTTTCCACGTGAAATCCTTGTTGAGTCCCTTTAATTTAGAGCCAGGTCCAAAAGCTCTTGACAAGTCCATGGGTCTGGGGGATGAATGGCCTCTGACCATAGGTTGTTCAAAACCTTCCCCTTTGGGGCCGGCCTGTGGCTCACTCGGGAGAGTGTGGTGCTGATAACACCAAGGCCGCGGGTTCAGATCCCATATAGGGATGGCCGGTTTGCTCACTGGGTGAGCGTGGTGCTGACAACACCAAGTCAAGGGTTAAGATCCCCTTACCGGTCATCTTTTTAAAAAAAAAAAAAAACCTTCCCTTTCCCCCCACCCTAGCACCTTCACTCTAGTTCCTCCCACATTGTGTCTTCTCCCTCCTTCCTAGCCTGCTCTCAGAGATTACTCTCTGCCCAAGACATTCTATAGCTTACTCCTAACCTTACACCATTTCACCTTTCCATTCTAGTTTTAAATTTTAATTTTTCGGGGCCGGCCCGTGGCTCACTCGGGTGAGTGTGGTTCTGATAAAGCCAAGGCCACGGGTTCGGATCCCATATAGGGATGGCCGGTTAGCTCACTGGGTGAGTGTGGTGCTGACAACACCAAGTCAAGGGTTAAGATCCCCTTACTGGTCATCTTTTAAGAAAAATAAATAAATAAATAAATAAAAAATAAATTTAAAAAATTTTAATTTTTCAAGGAGTCCTTTTCCAATCTCCTGAACTAATAAGATCACTATACATTGTCAGAGTGCTCTCCACATTTTATTGTAATTATCTGCTAAAGCCTGTCTCCTACACTAACCTATGTGGAGTAGAAGGGCAGGAATTGAACCTTTCTGCTTACCAGCTATATCCCACATCCCTGAGCATCATGATGGGCATAACAGGTGCTTAACAAATACATCCCAAGTGAACAAATTATACTTTGACTTTAGAAACCTCCACTTAGGGCCGGCCCGTGGCTCACTTGGTAGAGTGCAGTGCTGATAACACCAAGGCCGCGGGTTCGGATCCCATATAGGGATGGCCGGTTCGCTCGCTGGCTGAGCGCAGTGCTGACAACACCAAGTGAAGGGTTAAGATCCCCTTACCGGTCATCTTTAAAAAAAAAAAAAAAGAAACCTCCACTTAAAGCTAAGATGGAGGGCTGGCCCGTGGCTCACTTGGTAGAGTGTGGTGCCGATAACACCAAGGCCACAGGTTCGGATCCCTATATAGGGATGGCCGGTTAGCTCACTTGGGAGAGTGTGGTGCTGACAACACCAAGTCAAGGGTTAAGATCTCCTTACCAATCATCTTTTAAAAAATAAATAAATAAGTAAATAAATAAAGCTAAGATGGAATAACTGAGAAAATATTTACCCTCCCATTTGACCCAACTAAAAAACCAGACAAAATATATGAAACAGCAGATTTCAGACATTATACATCGAGCAGCACAAAACAGTGGATTATCCCAGCTTACTGTCCAAAGAGAACTTCCAAAAGTGCAGTGAAGGGGGAGCCCAGGTAGAGTCTGGCAGATTCCCTGAGTTGAAAAGACAAAACTGGCTCTCTCTTGCTTCCTATGACTATGTGATCTGCTTATACCTGCAGGTTAGCTTGCCATTTTCTGCTATGAGTAGAAGCAGCCTGAGGCCCGCACCAGATGCAGCTGTCCCAGAATCCATTATGTGGCAGAAATGTTAGCAGGCCTAGTGGAGCATTCTTATCATCTGGTGTATTAGTCCATTTCTGTTGCTTATAACAAAATACCTGAAACTGGGTGATTTATCAAGAAAATGAAATTTATTGCTTACAGTTTGTGAGGCTTAG